CAAAAAAAAAAAAAAAAAAAAAAAAAACTGCATGAACACACTATATGCCTTGATTATGGAGTGCTTTGCTGCCCCTTGCATTTTGTGCTCGAGGTGATACCTCTCTCCTAGTCCTGGCCCTGGTGGCCACAGGGTACAAGGGCCCTGCATGGAATATGCACAGGATGGAATATGCACAGAGGGGTGGCGGGGGACCAGGGTGGGGGGACCGGGTCTGACCGCTGGGCTCCTTTCGGGACAGGGGGTAGGGCCCGGGTGAAGGATGGCTCTGAAGATGCAGAGTGCTGCTGAGACTGGAAGAGAAGGGGGAGAAAGGAGAGAGAGAGAGGTTGAGGGGGGAGGACAGGGAGAGAGGGGTGCCCCACAGGAAGGGGCTGGTGACAAGCGTTTGCGGGGCAGTGAGAGGAGCTGGGATGAGAAGAGAGACCCCGGGGGACCAGGCCCCAAAATCACGTGACTGGTCCAGGCAGGGCTGCATCCGGTGCGTGGTGGGTTGGGTGACAGCTGGTTTCTGGGCTCAGCTCTACCGGCCGGATGAGCTTGGGTGAGGCAATGCACCCTCGGGGCCTCCCTTTGCCCAGGAGAAATGGGCACTCATAGTCCTTTCCTCCTGGGGTCCTCGGCAGCAGGGACCCTTGGCGTCATGTGACACGGTGTGACATAACGTGCAGGTGGCAGGAAGTCCATCGCCCCAGGCCTCAGCTCCCTGGCTGGTTTCTATCTCTGCTGCACATGTGCTGTGTGACCTTGGGCCGGTGGCCCACCTCTCTGGGCCCCTGTTCCGGTGGGGCTTTGTTAGCAAAACTCCCTGACACCCTGGTGTGCACTGCACACACACCAGGACCTAGTCTGGGGTTTGCACAGACCAGGAGCCGTGACGGCCGAGGAGCAGAGCTGCCCCTGGATGTCCCTCTGGCGTAGGCTGCAACTTTCCCCAGCAGCCCTGCCTGCTGTCTCCACTTCTCCATCCCAGGGCTCTGGTCTGCAGCCTCCCGGTGGTTTAGGTGGGTGTGTAAACAGAGGCAGACAGACACACTCCAGGGTCAGAGACTCCCACCCGGAGCATGGTAGGGCGGGGCGAGGCTGAGGCTCAGGGTCCGGAGGGAGAGCCTGGGAAGGAAGTGGGCTCCGGGCACCCCCATCTCTGGGTCTGGTCGATCTTTCCTCCCAACCTGCCCCGCTGCCCCCACTGGCCCTGACCCCTTTTCCGGATTTTGAAAGTTTGCTGATATGGGAGAATTGTGGGCGGGATATGGACTTTCTTCCCTGTCGCCTGTTTACCTGACAGCAGATGATCAGGAATAAAATGTGTTGAGTTGCTTCCAGAAAGCTCGACTAAGACAAAGACTGATAATGTCACAGGCAGACAAAGGGGCAAAGGTTAGAGGAGCCACAGAGAAAGAGCAAAGAAGGGCCTTTGCAGGTTGACTCTTGGGGGACTGGCTCTCTTGGACGCCACTGGGCGCCCCGATTCCTTTAGACCTGCCCCGGCCCCTTCTTGGCCATGACTTAGAATATTAAGCGCCAGAAGTGTGAGCTTCCACATTCTGATGTGCTGAAAGTAGAGCTCAGATGCAGCAAATAAAAAGATGGGCACCCAGGTAACTTCCGGAATTTCAGATAGACAAGAAATAAACTTTGAGTATGTCCCATGCAATATTTGGGATACACTTAGGCTAAAAAAATTTTTTTCATTGTTTATCTGAAATTCAGAGCTACCTGGGCAGCCTGTACTTCATCTGGCAAATCTAGCCATAAATGTAAAATATACGCTAGATTTCAAACGGTTAGCAAAAACAAAAAGCAACTAAAAAAGGGAAGGCAAAATGGCTCAATAATTTTTATATGGATTCCAGGTTGAGATGAAAATTGTGAAAATATTTTGGACATCTTGGGTTAAGTGACATAGATTATTAAAATTAGCATCACCCGCCTCTTTGTTTAACGAGGCTTTTGGAAAACTCACAGTTACACACGCGACTCTCATTTGGCTTGTGCGGGACGCTGGCACCAGCGGCTCGTGCAAACGGGGATGTTTTGGGACATTCCCGGGTTTACCACCAAAAGCCCCGCCACGTCCCAGGACCCCCTCAGTTCCAGGTGAACCAGGATGGCTGGTCACCCTGGGCCATTGCAAGCAGCTGGGCACCTCGCTTCTGAGCCTCACTTTCCCCCTCCGTGCCCTGTAGTGCCAGCACGGGGCTGGCAAGGTGGTAACAACCACTGGTCCCTGCAGCTAAGGGCAGGGGCCTGGCTCACGGGAGGAGCCCACACAGCAGCCTGTGCTTGGTGTGCAGCCCCCTGCCCCCCAGGCTCCCCCCAACCTCCCCTGCAGGTGCTGGGGAGCTGGGGAACCAGGGGAAGCGAGGGGAGGGGTAGCCTCAGGGCTCTTCCCCGGGGATCCTGAAATAGCCCTCACACCAAGCCCACCGTTCCTCCCTCCCTAAGAAACCCCAGGACGGGGACTTCCCTGGGGGCGCAGTGGTTAGGAATCTACCTGCCAATGCAGGGGACATGGGTTTGAGCCCTGGTCCGGGAAGATCCCACATGCTGCGGAGCAACTAAGCCCGTGCGCCACAACTACTGAGCCTGCGCTCTAGAGCTCACGAGCCACAACTACTGAAGCCCGCGCGCCTACAGCCCGTGCTCTGCAACAAAGACAAGCCACTGCAATAAGAAGCCCACGCACTGCAATGAAGAGTGGCCCCTGCTCGCCGCAAGCAGAGAAAGCCCGCGTGCAGCAACGATGACCCAACGCCGCCATAAATAAGAACAAAAATAAAAAATAAAAGAAATCCTAGGATGGTTCGAAGGGGCTGTTCTTGGCCTCTCCTCATCCCTCTACTTTGGGACAGCTCCCATGGCTCTGCCACTTGCTGGGCACTTCCAGGCACCGGGCACTGTGGACACAAGGTTCTTTATACATAGCTGAGGCTCACAGAGGCCGCCAATATTGAGCCTGAGGTCACACGGCGTAGGTGGCAGAATTGGGGCTTGAACCCAGGGCTGCAACTGCAGAGCCTGGGCGCCTGCAAGAAAAAGGCTGACTACGAAGGAACTAAGGAAGGAAGACAGCCTGCTTCCTGTCTCAGACACAAAGGCACAGACCCCTGAACTCTCCCGGAGGGCCCCCTATCTCCACGGCCGCCCCCTCTGTGGGGGTGTTCACACTGTA